TTAAAGATATGGATGATCCTAGTTCTTATTTTTTTTAACCTGGAAAAGAAAAATGTTCAACAGAAACAGATGTACCATCTTCGTCGTGCAAATGGAACTATAACCTCTGATCCGGTGGAAATCAGAAAAATGGCAGTGAATTTGTATGCGTCATTATATAGTAAAGAATCATGTGACTCTAAAAGTACTGAGGAATTACTGCATGATTTACCAAAGTTACCAGATGGACATAAAAAATTGCTGGACAATGAAATTACTTTTAAGGAACTCACAGAGGCAATGCAGCAATTGTCTTCAGGTCGGTCTCCAGGAATAGACGGATTGCCGGTTGAATTTTATAAGCAATTTTGGAATGTAATTGGAGTGGATTTGTATGAAGTATTTTTAAATTGTTTTAAAGAAAAGTCACTCCCGTTAAGTTGTCGTTCGTGCAGTCCTCTCATTGTTTCCAAAAAAAGGGGATTTATGTTTATTGAAAAATTGGAGACCAGTGTCCTTACTATGTCTGGATTATAAAATACTGTCAAAATGTCTGGCTAATAGAAATAAGTATTGTTTAGAGTTTTTGATTGATAAAGATCAAACGTATTGTGTCCCAGGTCAATTATAGACAATATTTTTGTGTTGAGAGATTTAGTTGACTTTAGCCACTTTAATAATAGTGATCTTGGAATTTTGTCATTGGACCAAGAAAAGACATTTGACAGGGTGGATCATAGGTATCTGTTTAATGTTTTAAAACACTTTGGGTTTGGCGAAACTTTTTTATCAAATGTAAAATTGTTGTACTCCAATGTGTTTATCATGGTAAAAAAGTGTACAGCAATGAAGGGGTGACACTCTAAAACATCAAGTGCAAATAAGACACCCACCCCCCCACACACACACACACCCACGCACACAGGGCCGGCGCTCCGCACACGCACATCACGCACTGCGCGTAGGGCACCAAGTGCTTGGGGGGGCACCAAAAAATCTGGGTCGTGAAAAATCATCACAATAGGCTACTAGTATAAATAACAAATAAAAAATGTCTAAAGCATGTTAATATACAAAAGCAATACAAAAGTAATATAGGCCTAGACCAAATTAGTCGAGAAAAAGTTGAATCTCCTGTGCCAGTCTCCCTTTGGTGCCCCCCCTTCCCCACCTCCCAGTGGTCTGTTCGATTATGCCTCAATCAATGTAAAATTTGGCAGACACCGACCTCAGAGATGGCCTCGAAAAGGCACCAAGAGTCGGGGGCGGAAAAAAGGAAAAAGAAGAGACAGCGGGATGATACTCGCGCGTCGCTTGCAGGTAGACAATGTTTTAAATAAAAATGTTAGTTTTGTAGCGCGGGCGCCCTTGCGTCGTGAATGCATGTCCAGGGGGGCGTCGCTAGTAGTGCAAATGATCCGGGGCTTTTTTAGCCCTGCATGTTGAATCTTTTATTTTAACGGGGGTCCGGGGGTTTCTCGAATTTTTAAACTTGGGCTGTTTAAGATGCAGTTAGTTTGTTTGAGAAGAAGAGGAAGACCGCTTAGATACGTTTTTTCGTTGTTGTTCTATGCGGATAATTTTCAAGAGGTTCATAGGCCAAGGCCCAAGGGCGACATCTGTTGGTGAAACTGCAATTAGATATAAAAAAAAAAAAAAACAATCTCAGTGTTTGTATATTTTCATATTCACAGAGTTGTCAAATTATTAGGGCTGGGAAAAGATTAATCGCATCCAAAATAAAAGTTTGTGTCTACATGATATATGTGTGTGTACTGTGTATAATTATTTTGTATATATAAATACACACACATGTATATATTTAAGAAATATTTGCATGTATATACTGTATATAATTATATATAATTTATATTATATATAAATTTAAATATTTTATATATAAATAACAAATATTTCTTAAATACATACATGCAAATGTGTATATATATATATACAAAATAATTATGCACAGTACACACATATATCATTCATGTTCCAAATCTGTGTTTTTAGTAATTGTGGTGGTTTTTGGTATTTATAATTTTAACCTATATATTATATTTCTTTTCATATTTGGTGCCATTGTTAATGTAAAATTATTTATTTGCAGCAGTTATTTTGGAAGTAAAGAGAACCTAACTAAGAAATTCTGAATGCTTGTTATTCCTTGGGTTGGTGGTTGGGAGTGGGGGGGCACCACCAAGCATTTGTGCTTAGGGCACCCAAATGGCTAGCGCCGGCCCTGCACGCACACACACACACACACACACACACACACAGAGAAATGAATAGGAAAGACTGTAACAGCAAATGTTGAGAAAATGCTAAATAAAATAAAAAATTAAAAGAAAATACAAAAGATAGGCTACTCTTTCTCGCTCAAATGCACACACACACACACCTCATCATGTCTAAAACAACAATATGAATCAAAAAGCCTTTCTATGTATTTATATAGGAAGCCTACAGGCGGTTACGGACATTACACACATTTATACATTTTTACTTATCTAAAAAAAAAAAAAAAGTAGTCTTTTAGAAAATCTAAATATATATCTAAATAAAAAAAAACGAATAAGAGAGAGAAATCATGTCTAAAACAGCAATAGGAATCAAAAAGCATTTCTATGTATTTACATAGGAAGCTATGGGCAGCCTACAGGCGGTTACAGACATTACACACTTTAAAACATTTTTAAAGCCACTGGATGGCGGTATTCTCACTTGAATTTTTTTTTTGCCTGCTGCCAGCATTATATTTTAATGTGCCACGTTGAGTTTTTTGAAAAAAAATTTTTTTTATAATAATAATAATAATAATAAAAATTCTAATGGAAAAAATAGCTCATAAAAACTATATAAAAATAGCAAAGCATCATAAAAATCTTTAAAAATTCTAAATAATAATAAGAAAATATTATTGAACAAAAATATATTTGAATGGTTTTCCTGGGGGGAAAAAAAGTTACATTTTAAGGCTTCGGTCTTTTTTGACCGAAAGGAAGCCAAGTGTAACCCCTAAACAAAGAAGCCCAGAGTTTACGATCACAGAGACTTGTTTCAAAACTGATAGAGGAAATTTCTCTGGCAATACAAAGAACTAATGGAGAAAGTATATCAATAGGACATATGTCAAACGTTTTTCCAAGGATCATTATTTCGCCACTAATATGTCATGAGAATGAAGGGGAAGTTGCCGATTCAATCTTGAATTTCCAGACACCTCAACTGGAGTATCTGGATTGTGCTTCAAAGAAGGCGCTTTACCACACAGCAGTTAAGGTGATACATCAGAAGTCACTGAAGAGACAGAAAGCTTCCAGATGGCTAGGGTTGTTTGGACCAGACTTCCTTGTAAGAGATCGGTGGAGGACCCTGTACAAACTCCCTGTAGAGAAGCGAACTGGTGATCTGCAGTGGAGGATCATACACGGGGCGATAGCTACGGACAGGCATGTGGCGCACCTGAACCCAGCAGTGGGGGGGGGGGCAGTGTAGGTTTTGTGGTGAGGGTGAAGATGTAGAGCATCTGTTTTTAAAATGTAATAGACTAAATGATTTGTTTGAATTACTTGCAACTTGGTTTCAGGGGTTTGCGGAAGAATTTTCAGACAAAATATGTATAGGGAGTTTGAAATATAGTTTTTTATTAAAGGTGCTAAATGTAACTTTTCTTCTAAAATGAATCATTTTTTTATTGCCTGTGTGTGAATGGGTTGTAATCACACATTACAATGATCCACTTGTCGGGTTCTGCTATTACCTGAAGGCCAGTATTCCTATTTCTATGTGAGGTCTCCGGGTCGGATTTGGCATGGAGTCTGATAACACCAAAAAACGACCTGCCTCCAGCACAACACAGACTCCAACGAAAACACGGATCAACATCGGCAGAGTGTTTGAATTATGGAGAGACCTCTGCTATTTTTATTGTGATAAATTACACGTTTTCAGATATGCTGAAATAAATAATGGTAAACTGTAATGAAATGGCAAGGTAAACTACAACATATATGAGACATGAAATGAATACAAAAGACTGTTCCAGGATAACAAAAAGTAGGTGCTTTAGGATGTAACTTTTATTTTATGTACTAGATCTACTGTCTAACGTCACTCATCCCACTACTATCATATTGTTTATAATTTTCAGACATGTTCAGTACAGTAATGTTACTTCCTACGATCTTACTGTTACACTGAAATTGTTCAGTCTAGTTCACTAACCGTTTTCGTTATCATATTATACATTCACCTATGTTGACATTGCTGATTGTGAAAGATACTACACGAATAGTTAGTGACATGCCTTATTATGCTAACACCACATGTCAGCTAAATGCATTCAATGTAACGTTATCATGGTACGAGTATGGAGCATTAGTTCAACGTCAAGCTGATAAAAGTAGCCTATTATAACGTTGCAGTGGGAGTTTACATGAGTTTCCAGCATGTTGTGTGATGCTTTCTCCGGTGTGTTGAAAGTCTCAGTGTGGCCTGCCGGTGCCATGAGTGCTCGCTCTTGTGTTCGAGCACGCGCAAGAGCACGAGCGCTCTTGTAGAATAAGGTCTAAGAAAGAATAAGGGCCTAGAGTTGGCAGCAACGGATTCTAAAGCAATGTAAATGAGTCTGGTGGCAGCAAGATTGAGAACGGAATTTGAATATTACAGTCTCACAAATAATGTACCTGCTTTTTGTGAAATTTGGTGTATTTATGAGGTTTTATGTGTTGTACATGATGATCAACTGGTCTTAGGTTTTTAAAAGAATATGTATTTTTACTTATTTTTATTTTTTTATAAAAAAAAAGTTCTTATTCCCTTTCAATATTGTTTGAATTAGGGATGTAAAACTTTGTACAAGTTGATTTGTAATAATAAAGGCAATCTTAATCTCTCTCTCTCTCTCTCTCTCTCTCTCTCTCTCTCTCTCTCTCTCTCTCTCTCTCTCTCTCTCTCTCTCTCTCTCTCTCTCTCTCTATCTCTCTCTCTCTCTCTCTCTCTCTCACACACACACACAGATCAATGCTCTACAGAAGAGTGGGGATAGTTTTCATCTGGTTACAGCCTCGGGGAGAGTTCTTGGTAAGGTAAGTGAAGAGAGAGAGGAATTATAAAACTAAATAAAAATGTATGGTTCTGCCTTTAAAGAAGCAATTTAGTTAATAAATATTTGCATTATTATCTCTTATTAAATCTTACTTGATTTGTTCTAATCCATTAAACATGACATTACAATGTCTTAGAAGCCAATATGAAAGTTTCAGTAAAAACTTGAATTAATTAAATTCACTTTATTTGAATGTGTCCTTGTTAAAAAATGTTGCATGTAACTGTAAACTATGCATAATTATATGCAACTAACCCTAAATCAAACCCTAATCATTAATGCATTTTAATGCATAACATTACCATTACGGTTTGATTAGAAAAAAAAATACCGGTTAATAACCTTCTTTTTAACTTTTTATTCATTCATTTAATAATTTATTGTATAATACTTTATACAAGAGCTTGAATAGAACTTTATACTAAGAGCTTGTAACTAAATTCTCGTAACTCCAGTGGATCCTCAAATTGTCAGCAAAACCATACAGTAGCTCCACCCGCCTTCATTTAGAATTAAGTGCCGCACACATTTTGGAGATGGTCTTTGCTTTTTTGCAGTGCAAGTCTAAATAAAGAACTGGTTGTTTGAATATGTACAGCATTTTCTTCACTCAAAAAATTTTGTTTGTAAAGGGTTATGTTTTATTTATTATTATTATGAAATAAAGAGGGGTAACATATTTCGGCAGCTATAAATTTGACCTGTCAGATTCAGTGACCCTATACACTGTAAAAATAAAAGGTGCCTGGAGGAACCTTTTGGGGTTCTTCACTTTGCCACACCGGCGGAACCGTCTGTAGAAAAAACAGGGGCACCCTTTAAAAAGGGGCGGTTCGCTGAGGAACCACCCAGGTTTCCTGAGGAATTCTTATATAAGGCACCGCCCCTCCCGGTCTTCGAGATCTCCACTCGGAACCGCTTCTCCCCTCTTCGCGAGTCGAAACGCGACGACGCCGTGATCATCGGCACGTCCATGGTCCGCCATGTCCGCGCTACCTCAGGTAAAGGTAAGGTGCGCTCTCACTGCTTTCCTGGTGCTCGTGTTCTTGATATCGCTGCACAGGTTCCCGAAATCCTGACCGGGGACGAGCGCGTCGGAGCTGTGGTGCTGCATGCGGGAGGGAGCGACGTCAGGCTGCGGCAGACGGAGGTTCTGAAGAAGGACTACATGAGCCTGATCGAGGCGGTACGCAACACAGCGCCTGAGGCAACGATCATCGTGTCTGGACCGCTTCCCACGTACCGACTAGGACAAGAAAGGTTCAGTAGACTATTTGCACTAAATGAATGGTTAATGTCACTGTGTAATGAACAGAAACTGCTCTTTGTAAATAATTGGAATCTGTTTTGGGAGCGACCCAGGCTGTACCGTGCTGATGGCCTGCACCCCAGCAGAGCCGGAGCGGCTGTTCTGTCGGGTAATATCTCCAAGACGTTACGCACCAGATGACTAATAAGTCAAAATCCAAATCACAGTCTTTGCTGTCCAAACTTAATTGATATACGTAGTGAAGAACATTATATAGAAACTGTGTCTATTCCTCGTTTAGTGAAGCCAAACAATAAATCTAGTGCAGGATCTAGCAAAAATCTTATTGTAATTAAACCAGAAAATCTAAATATCAGTGAACAAAAAGAATTTCTAAAGCTAGGTCTCCTAAACATTAGATCGCTCACACCTAAAGCGGTTATTGTAAATGAAATGGTCACAGATAATAATTTCGATATACTTTGCCTTACTGAAACCTGGCTTAAACCAAATGAGTATTTCGGTCTAAATGAGTCTACTCCGCCAAGATACTGTTATAAGCATGAGCCCCGTCTGACTGGTCGTGGCGGCGGTGTTGCAACAATCTATAAAGATATTCTTAATATTTCTCAGAAAACAGGTCACAGATTTAATTCGTTTGAAGTACTTATGCTAAATGTTACGCTCTTAGATGTAAGAAAGAAATCCATATTATCTCTAGCCTTGGCTACTGTATATAGACCTCCAGGGCCATATGCTGAATTTCTAAAAGAGTTTGCAGACTTTCTCTCGGATCTATTGGTCAATGTCGATAAAGCAATAATTGTTGGAGATTTTAACATACACGTAGACAACAAAAATGATGCGTTAGGGGCTGCGTTTACAGATTTATTAAACTCCTTTGGGGTCAAGCAAAACGTCCGTGGTCCCACTCATCGTCTAAATCATACACTAGATTTAATTATATCATATGGAACCAATCCAACTGATATAGATATTATACCGCAAAGTGATGATGTCACTGATCATTACATGGTAACGTGCATAATACGTACTGCTGAAATATGTCATGTTGCGCCACGTTATAGACCAGGCAGAACAATCCTTCCAACCACTATAGATAGATTCTCAAATAGCTTACCTGATCTATCTCAGCTGCTCAGTGAACCCAAACAAACAGATGAACTAGAGGAAATGACTAGCAGTTTGAGCACCATTTTCACTAGTACATTAGATATTGTTGCACCAATTAGATTAAAAAAGGTTAAAGAGAAAACTAAAGCACCATGGTACAACAGTGTTACGCATGATATCAAGAGAGAAACTCGTAACCTAGAGCGTAAATGGAAACAAACTAATTTAGAGGTCTTTAGAATCGCGTGGAAAGACAGTATGTCACGTTATAAAAAGGCTCTAAAAACAGCCAGGGCTGAGCACCTCCGCAAACTAATAGAAAATAACCAAAATAATCCAAGGTTCTTATTTAACACCGTGGCTAGACTAACAAATAAACAGACATCACCAGAGCAAAATATACCGTTACAGTTTAGTAGTAATGATTTTATGAATTATTTCAATGAGGAAATAGAAAGCATTCGAAACACAATTATAAATGTACAATCCTCTATGGTCTCTTATGATTCAGCCTCAATTATCGTCCCTCAAGAACAACTACACCGCTTTGCAACGATAGGACAGGAAGCGCTAAATAAACTTATTATTGCATCTAAACCAACAACATGCTCATTAGATCCAATACCCACTAAACTACTGAAAGAAGTGTTACCTGTAGTGGAAGAGCCTCTTCTTAATATTATTAACTCGTCTTTATTCTTAGGTCATGTTCCAAGAATATTCAAGTTGGCAGTAATAAAACCTCTCATTAAGAAACCGCAACTAGATCCAAATAACCTAGCAAATTACAGACCCATTTCAAATCTTCCATTTATGTCCAAAATACTAGAAAAAGTTGTATCCGCTCAACTGTGCTCTTTTTTGCAAGAAAATGATATCTATGAAAAATTCCAGTCAGGATTCAGACCGCATCATAGTACAGAAACTGCGCTAGTTAAAATTACAAATGATCTACTCTTAGCTTCGGATCAAGGCTGTATCTCAATACTAGTCCTACTTGATCTTAGCGCCGCGTTCGACACTATAGATCATAAAATACTCTTGGATCGACTACAAAACTACACTGGTGTTCAGAGACAGGCATTAAGCTGGTTTAGATCGTACTTATCTGACCGTTATCATTTTGTCTCTTTACACGGGGGAAAATCAAAGTTAACGTCAGTAGACTACGGAGTACCGCAAGGATCGGTGCTAGGCCCTCTGCTATTCTCAATATATATGCTGCCACTTGGTAATATTATAAGAAAACATGGAATTAATTTCCACTGTTATGCTGACGACACTCAATTATATATTTCATCACGACCAGATGAAAACATTACCTCATCTAAATTGACAGAATGTCTCAAAGATATAAAATGCTGGATGACGCGTAATTTCCTGCTATTAAATTCAGATAAAACGGAGGTATTACTTATTGGTCCAAAAAACTACACACAAAACCTCTTACAATACGACTTTAATATAGAAGGATGCCCTGTTACTTTTTCCACTACAGTAAAAGACCTGGGTGTTATACTAGACCGCAACTTGTCTTTCGAAAATCATATTTCATCTGTTACAAGAACAGCCTCTTTCCACCTTAGAAACATTGCTAAATTACGTAACATGCTATCTGTTTCTGATGCAGAAAAGTTAGTTCATGCATTCATGACCTCGAGACTAGATTACTGTAATGCTTTATTAGCTGGTTGTCCTGCATCCTCAATAAACAAGCTACAGTTAGTGCAAAATGCAGCCGCTAGAGTTCTTACTAGATCAAGAAAATATGATCATATAACACCGATTTTATCATCTCTGCACTGGTTACCTATTAAGTTCCGTATCAATTACAAAGTACTACTACTGACCTATAAAGCCCTTAATGGTTTAGCTCCTATGTACTTAACGGACCTTCTTTCGCCCTACAATCCACCGCGTTCTCTAAGATCACTAAATTCAAGGCTTCTGGTCATTCCTAGGATATCGAAGTCCACGAAAGGAGGGAGGGCATTCTCGCATTTAGCTCCAAAACTCTGGAATAGCCTTCCCGATACGGTCCGATGCTCTGACTCGCTGACACAGTTTAAAACTAGACTAAAGACGTGTCTCTTTAGTCAAGCATTCACATAATGCTTACCTTTTAGTCCTCTGTGGGATGATTTTAGTATCAAAATGATTAACACGTGCAAGCACACTTATCAATGAACTTGATACATGTTGCAGAAATGTTTTATCCATGCCTTTCAACTTGTGTGTGCAAAATTCAAAATTGAATGAATGTGAAGCAATTTGTACAAATAGAGACATTTTTGTGAATACAAATGTTTTCCTTTGTATTAGTGTATCATAATTTGCACATGCAACACAGAAGACGTGCATGTGTGGATCAGGTGACGCGCGTGCATTCATTGAGTCGATTCATTGAGTCGATCCTATTTGATTCATTTGGATTTTGAGACTTTCATTTCGCGGGTTTCGCCTTGCACGATCCACACACAGCTGTCTGAGAAAAGCTGCTACCACTAGATGGCAGTATTCTGCTAAAACAGACAACGGCAGCATAATCAAGCGTTCTTCCGCATTTAAGACGCTTAATGAGAGTGATATTGAAGCAC